AAGTGCTGAAGAGGCCTCCCATTAAATGCACATGCCTGTTTGTCAAAATAGCTAAGAAGTTGCTCCTTGGAGAATTGTTACTGAGCCAAATATATTAGGGTTTTAAAGCAAAAATCTTTCAGGTACAAATTCTCCATGATTTATTTTTTTTTGGTAAGCAACAAGTCATCTGATTGTGTCCATTATATTTTGTAGACTATTTCATATGAATATTTCTAGTAAAAAGAAAATGGGAGACTTTTTTATAAGTTCAGGGTTACTCTAATTACTTTTGGCCTAAGGCTTTTCATAGAATTTAAACCCAAAATATTTGATGGCATCAAAAACTTCAAATTTAGACTGAAAACAGAAAAAAAAAGTATACCTACGTTTTTAATAAAGTACCATGTAGGTGCACAGAGGTGAGATAATTTTCATAACCATTTTATATTTTTATTGAAAAGTAAAAGATTATTAATTTTGCAATTTAAATGATTGCAAGTTGTTTCTTTGTCTTAGCCTCTGTAAGAATGCAATTTGCTGGTTGAAAAGAGGTAGAGGATAAAAGTTTGCTTTAAAAACTACACTTAGTGAATATTTATACTGAAACACACGCCTTTAATGGGAATGACATTTCTAGGAGGAGAAGGCCTGAGGGCTGGGCTGGGTGTGGCCACAGCCTGGCTGTGAGCCAGCTCTTTAACCAGGCCCCTGCTTCTTGGTCTTGCCACAGAGCTGACCTCACAAGGAAGGGCACGAGGAACAGTGTAGTCCAACATCGTGTGAGAACACCACGCTGACCGAGGGGGGTCACACCACACTGACCAAGGGGGGGCCACACCACGACACTTCACTGCACACATCCTAATGACCTGGGAGATCAGCCTCATCCTTCCGGATTGGTAAATGAGGCAACTGGCACTCAGAAGGATTAGTAAGCCACCCAGGGTCACACAGCTAGCAAGTGACAGAACTCAAGTCAAGCCCGAGAGTCCAGCGTCCCCAAGCTTCCCATCTCCCCACATGGCCACCCACGACATGGGGTGTTGCTAGACGGTGACACTTCCTGATGTGTTATTTGTACAAACTGCGTAACACAACAGGGCCCATGGCAGTTTTCTTTCTAACATAAAATAACCAAAAGGAGGAAGCTTACATTTTAATGAATAAAAAAAAAATGTGTTTTCTCTTGAATGGTAAAAATAACCCAAATCTTAATTCGGCCAAGGGCTGCTATAATAAAGTCTCCTTTAACATAGACATGATCGAAGTTTTAAGAAATAATTTCTTTATGATTTTCTGAACTTTCTCTGAAGTATCAGAGAAATAATTGTAAGTGATCTGTCAAGAATTTTAGAAAGGGCTGTACCGCAGCTACTGAAAAATTTGCTCACAGCCAATAGTGTGTGTCTTCAATGAGCATGCCAGTGAGATTATTTTCAAAATGTAGGAAAACGCTGAAATAGCAAGTTTCTGAAAGAACTGAACGCTGATAAGTACAGTGCATCTACCTTTTAGGGCTTTGGTGCGCAAAAATCCAAGGCAAAAGAGAAAAGCTTGGGTTGACAGACAGTGGAAATTCAGTAAGCAGGACCATCATCTGGGCTTCTCAGGGGAAGCGGTGGTGATGGGAACACTTGAGTCCAGGCTTTGAATCCCGTGATAACATCTGTGATGCCTCCTCCTCCCTCCCGCAGCTATTTTTATTGGTTAATTTGCTTCACATTGAGACTACAGAAAAAGTCAGCATCTCTCCGGGAGCTCATGCTTATTTTAAATTATGGCCCCTTTGTGGCCTCTCCGGGACTCTTGGGTCCCCCAACATGGAGAGCCCCACCTGGGGATGGCCACAGAATCTTCACCAACAATGGGATGCTGAAGGCGACGGGGCAAAAATGTGATGCAGGAACAGAAGACAGCAGGCAAAGCCTCTCCATTATCATCCCCCAGGACGGAGTTAGGACAATCAGCAGAGGACTGCTCCCGGAGTTGGCTCAAAGAGCGGAGTTTGTTACGTTCCCATAGATCTTTTTATGCTGCCCAGCCGTGTTAACATAGCTAAGTGGTTTATCACCATGAAGACAACTTTGGGATATTCGTTACAAAATACTGTTGTGTTTTGCTGAGACGTAACATAAATTAAACCCAGGAAGCCCCAGTTACATATTATATCTTGTTTTTGACACATACAAAAACAAAATAATAATACATAATACAGTAGCACCTCTGTAAGGTGACCACCTAGCAGACTGCAGCAAACTGCCAATTTACAGAGGTGGTCAGCCTAAGGAGCTCGGCCTACTGCACTGATACACACAGGTCGTGCACGGCCGGTCCGTGAAGATTACACCCACCTGAGGAGGTGGTCAATGCAGGGCGGTGGGCAAGTATGGAGGTTCTCCTGTGTATATTTTTTCAAGTGGTAGATACTAAATCTTATGGTCTAAAGTACTTCCTGTTTCTTCATCTAGAGCACTTAGAAATGACATATTCCTCCTGAGAGAGCTATGCCAGTTCTAAGACAACCCTTGGGAATGGTTACGACACACGCAGGCATGCTGAGAGGTTAGAAGCTTGGTGCTAACCCTTGGAGATACACCTTATTAGCCTTCGGGGGTGCTAATAAATCTCCACTATGCAGGGTGCTGCCTGGAGAAACCTGCCTCCTTACCTTTGATATGGGGAATGAAGTGGTGTCGGAAGGGGGGGTTGGGGCGGGAGTCGCTGTGGGTGGGGCTGAGGCTGCTGGTGCGCAGGTGGGACAACCTCTGCACACCAGGAGACAAAAGCTCTGTGCAGCGAGGAGTCAGGGGCAGGGCACGGTGGAGACAGAAAAGAAGAACAGGAATTAACACAGGAGCAGGGACGGTGCCATTGTTCCAGGGGGAGGGAAAAATAAAGAGCGTTAATCGGGAGTCTGGAAAAGGAGGAAGGAAGAGGGTTAGGAATGCACCTGCTGAGGGTGAGGCCCAGTGGGGAGAACTGGACAACTGGCTCAGGAGGGTACCCAGTCACTCTCTGAGAATAAATGGCTTTGGTGAAAAGGAACAGTCACCAGGACACTCTCTGTCAGGATGATGCCGGATACCATCGGGCCAGTACCAGGCACATCATTTAGACATTTAACAATCGATAATTTTGAAAAGCAACAAAACAGAACCCTCGGAAATGCACGTAAAACGACTTGATAATCATTTCAAGAAATTTAAAAATAAGAATTTATAGGTAAGGGTCAGATTATTTTTTTTAAGCTGCAAACTTATCCCAATGGAAGTTTAATTTTATTTTACCTATACAGAAGGAAAACCTGTTTGTGTTCCCTGAAGGCAAAGCATTGATCCTGAGAATTGTACCGTGGTAGCACTGGACTTTCGGAAATTCACTAGTGGACCATTAAACCCAGACCTGGGGGCTGACACCATCTAAAACTCTGGGGTGTTCTATGTGGATCACAAGTATGATGTCAGAATACTGCCGGCTTCACTTTAGAAGGGTAGACCTCAAAAAAAATTATAAAGCCTAATAACTGACATCATATCTATATGTGTAATATATTGTAAACAGAGACAAGACTGTTTTAAAGCCTATTGGCTTTGAAACCACAATCAGAATATATAAAAGCTTTTTCAATAAGGACATAAGTTTTGTGGGGAACACGTGTTGCTGAATGACCACGTTCTCCACTATTCAGGGGTCTCTGGGACCACAGTTTCTCCAGAACCCTCTGCCATTCCGACAACTCCATGGCTGGGTGTCTCAGTGACCTTGGCATAGGTACAGAGGCAGGTTAACAGCATAAAAGATTTCCTATCACCCAGACGGACAAGGGTTTAAATCAAGACCTATGTTCAGGTCTTGAATAAAATGGATATAGTGTTAAATTTAAAAAAAAGAAAAAGAAATGAAGAAAATTTCTAAAAACTTTCATTGAACATAATCCAATAAATACTGAGTAAATATTTATAAGCCGAGAGAAAAGGACACAATACTGAAGGATCAAACGGTTTCAATTCTCCACAGTAGTAAATCCATAGTTTTAAAGAAAAGACTGTAGCTATTTCAGTCTGTCAGTTTCCTTCGGTTTTACATTTTATGTACTTTTTTTCTTTTTTTTTTGCCGGGGCTGGGTTTGAACCCACCACCTCTGGTATATGGGGCCAGCACCCAACTCCTTTGAGCCACAGGCACCACCCTTGTGTACATTTTTATAATACAGGTTAGCACATGGCTAGGTTTGCTCTCATCAACTTGCCCAGAAGCAAGAAGCTTAAAATGAAGTCTTCCCAGGTGGACATCATCCCCACCAAGCTTGCTCAGAGTCACAGTCTTGTCTGTGAATCTATTTCTCAGGGAATCTTAAATCTGTGCTGGGACCTCCATGCTTCTCCCACTCCATAGGGGACACTCACTTACAGCCACAGGGACTAAATTCTCACCAGAGGAATGTCCACTAACATCCCCTAATCTGTGGCATTCTCTACTGGAGGACATCTCTGATGTTTTTATGTTTTCTAAGTCTGATTTGAAAACTTAATGTTGGAAGAGATCTTAAAAGTTATCAAGCACAACCCTGAGGCCTCTTTCTAGAAGGTTCTTCACCAGGCATGCTCAGTAACACCACGTGCCTGGACGAGGGAAACAATAAATCCTCAACAAATGGCTAATACTGGATTTTAGGTGATGCGGATAGGCTCTGAATATTTCTTCTTGGAGATCTTCATTTTAAGTCTCAAAGTGATGAGATTTTTGTCAACTCTTAAAAAAATTAAAAATAAAACCTCCCTTGCTTCCGGTAGTACGCTGTCAAAATGCAATTATTCAATATATCGTAACAAGCATAGCCATAAAATGGTACTTCAAGAAAAGACAGAATGAAATATAGTTGGATGCCAGTTTTCATTGTGTTCTGGAAGAGAGGTAGAACTATTTGGTAGTAGAGTTTTCAGCATGTTGTCAATGACATGAGACATCACACAGAGATACAGCGGATTACAGAATGAATCCAGGAACAGCCGCCTTACCAGGTCTGTGGAAATGCTGGGGAGAGCGTGACGTGGTCGGAGTGTAACTGTGGCGGCTGTAGACGGGGGAGTTGATGGAGCCCTGGCTGGTGGACCGGTGGATCATCCGATCCCGAACATCCTGGTATCCCTGGACACAAAGTTTGAGAAAGCATGAACATTAGACACATTTGGGCTATATTATCATTTCCGAGCAGAACCGAGTTTCCACAATGCTGCCAAGGAACTATCCCGTCTACCTGTTCAGGTGGCTCTTTTAGGACCATACTCCACAAATACACATGCAAATGCATATTCTGCGGATGTTTTGTTGGAAATCCACAGTACTTTCATTTATTACAATTTTGAAATGTGAAGTTATCAGCTCAGGTAAGGATAGAGCTCTGGGATAAGAGGTCGTAATTCCGATGACCATGTTGGTATTGTGCTTCTCAGTGTTAGGGGTGTGTTTGCCTGCCCATCAGATCTGCTTAGTAATAAGGATCAGTGGACCCCAGGGCCTCACCTCCCTTCCCCACTAACATAGACACAAGGTTCCAAGCAGGTTAAGAGCCCTGTGTGTGGAGGGGTGTAGCTGGCACGGGCATGGCCCACTTTAGAACCAGCCTCCCGATTCTAACTTCACCCCTTGTTCTGCCCACCAACCTGCACTGTCCAGTGACATTTTAAATTGATTCTCCTGGAGAACAAGTTGGTCGTTGCCTGAAAGCCACTATCTACTTCTCACCTTGGGGAACATATTCCAAGAAAATCATTAAAAATGATCTTCAAAAGGAATGATTGATTCGAAGAATTTTATACTACTATCATTCACAAAGGCAAAAATTTGTATTACCTAATTGATTTACCTCAATAAATTGGCGCATAATTAGGAAATCATGACATGTGAATTTAATGTAGTATGATAGCACTACTAACATGTCACCTACATCCAAACCTGGGAAAGGTTATATTACGTAATAAGAACAAGAAACCGAGCGGCACCTATGACTCAAAGGAGTAGGGCGCCGGCCCAATATATGGGAGGTGGCGGGTTCAAACCTGGCCCTGGCCAAAAACTGCAAAAAAAAAAAAAAAAAAAAAGAAAACCACACGTACGCAAACACAATGTAAAACTGCTGAAAGTTCATAGTCCCAGGAGAGGATAAAGGATATTTCACATTTTAGGAATTTGTTGTTCTGCAGAGTTTCTACTAACACAGTAAAACATTTGAAAGAATACACAAATAATCGCTAAATTAAAACCTCAGTAACCACAGCTTTGTAGACTCTGAGAGCAAATGGCCAGGAAGCTGGCTTGCTCCTAGTTGGCTGTAACAATAAAGAAAAACAGAAAGGCACCAAATAATGTGCTTCAACCTTGCGATCAACTGGTCAATAATAGAAGTTCATTCTTCATAATTTCAGTTGTAAATTACCAGCATACTGTTGGAAATTAACGAATCATAGTACTTGGGCACAAACATCAAAATATTACAGAATTTTTACTATTTTGAATGACAGAGATTCCCTAGGATCAGTCCAGTTTTATAAAGAATATCCCAAAAGCTGCTTGGCTTTAAGACCAGATGATTGAGCTGTTAGATGAAGCAGAGTAACCTCTTAGGAAAATGGCTCTGCTGACAGAATACACTATGACCGCTGTTGGCTAATATGTTAGGATTCAGATCAACTGATTATAGACAAGGGCAGACACACTGGGACAAGGGGCTTCAATACCTACAGACAGACACATTTCTGCCACTTCGAGGTGCAGGCTCCATCAGCATGAAACCATTTTTACTTCTACTTTAAAATAAACTTATTGCGTAAGTCAGTCTTTTCTGCGTCTGACAGTCTTTTCTTACCCATGAGGAATCTCTCTGGCCAGCAGAACCCCACATGCAGTTCTTCTGTTCCCTTGTACGTCTTTTTTTCAAAAATTCTAGAAACTCTCAAATTTTGCCCATTAAAATGGTCAGAAATGGTACTTACTTCTGCTGATGGAGTAGGGGACAAAGTCCTCGGAGACTAGAAGAATAAGGGAGAATTTAATGTCACAAAGATGTTCGTTAACTATTTACCAGTTTTAATCAGAGTTGCTTACTGGAATCAGCTGGAGACACTGCCCCAAATACACATGTCCGCACTTCTTGCCCATTCCCCCAACCTGTGATTTAGGAAGTCTGCCGTGGGGCTCACAAAGGAAACCTCAGAGAAAGTTCCTGAGAGATTCTGGTGCACATCTCTGCTTAAGAATCACGTTTTAGGCTCAGAGCCTATGGCTCAAGAGGCTAAGGCGCCAGCCACATACAACTAAGGTGACGGGTCTGAATCCAGCATGGGCCTGCCAAAACAACAATGACAGGTGCAACCCAAAAATAGCTGGGTGTTGTGGTGGGCGCGTGTGGTCCCAGATACTTGGGAGGTGGAGGAAGGAGACTCGTTTGAGCCCAGGAGTTGGAGGTTGCTGTGAGCTGTGATG